CAGGTACAGCCCGACGGGCCCGTGCAGCGTTTCGGAAGGGCTGCCGAAGGCGTTGTACATGAAGAACCCCGTTCCCACCAGGGCGAAGACTATCAGCACGGCGCAGAAGACGATGACGCTCACGTGGATGCTTGCAGGGATAACTCTGAGCAAGTCTGGAAAAACTAAAAAATAAAAATAAAAAAAAATCCAAATATTATTATAAACATTAGGCAAAGTTATTGATTTAGAGGCGAAATGGGGTTTTTTTTGGTAGGCTGTGCTAGTTGTTTTAAACTGTGCTCTTCCACATGCAATCAGAGATGAAAATTAAGCCATCAAAAATTTAATTAGCAACACATTTTCAGGGCTGTTTGAGAGAAGCATTTTGTGAAGTTCAAGTGCAGACGGGCCCAGAGGGAGGAGCAGCCCCAGGGAAACCTCCCCGGCCTCCCCTGGAGCGTATCCCGCTCCGCGCGGGGCCCCAGCCGAGGAGGGACCCTGCCCGAGAGCCGTCCGTGTCCGCGGCGTCTGCCCTGGGCTTTTCGGAGGGCGACCTCCAGCTTCGGTAGCTTTTTGCATGCTGAAGACGCTTTTTTGGAGTCGCACGCTCAGCGACTGTTTCCTCACTTTGGGGCATTAGTAGACTAAGCAAAAGCTCCTCCAGACCTGTGAGCACTATTAATAGCGGTGCAAACCTGTATTTTGGGTTATTTGTTTTTCAGATGGCAATGTACCTATCGCCACGGTGGTATTTGGTCTTTAACGTGAGCGGAATATTTTTAGCGACGAGCTGGAAACGGGCTTGGCGAGGTCGGATCTGCTTTGCTTGTGTCTAAACGACGCTGTGAAGGACATGCACATGTTTGCTTGGTGACTGTAGATATTTTAGGAGTAACCACCAGACACACTGAGCTGCTCCTGACCCCTGGGGGCACGATTAAACCGGGGCAATAACGCCCCATGGCCGCCTCACTGCTGTTACAGCAGCACTGCTTAATCTTTTGGGAGAAAATACAAAATTGTGTATTTAATAATACACACTTCTATTGTTTGTTTTAAGAAAATATGTCACTGCTTTGTATTGAGTGTTTCCCTTGGCACCTGCATTTAGAGTTTTTTTATATGTCATTAAAATTTTATAGGTGACATATCAGGAAAAATTAATGCCAGCAGCGATGTTGTCTTGAAAGGAAAGCATTCCTTCACCGTAATGAGAGCGTGTGTGCTGGGTAAGCATGGCAATGACCTTTAGAAAACAAACTGCTGACCCAGAAGCTGATGAGAAGCAGCAAGAGTAAATGAAGCAGAAGGTTTTCCCCAGCCGACCGGGGCTTGCTGGCAGAGCAAGTCCATTTTACAAACGAGAGAGAGCGAGCGGTCAGTGGGGAGCATTTAACAGGCACAAACGAAGACCTACATTGCTCAGCCCGCTCTCCGTGCCTTTCGTCGGCCCCACTGGCGCGCGCCGGGACATCGACCACACGTGCCGATGCGGGGCGCAGAGCCTGCTCCCCGGGGCTCCTCGGGAGCTTGCTCCGCCGCGCTCCGCTGCCGGTGTCGGCCTCCGCCGTTGAGCAGTCTCCGGGGC